GAAGAACTCGATCCTGATCAGCCTGGCGGGTCCTGCCGCATCATTGATCCTGGCGCTCGCCAGCGGCGCGGTGCTCTACGCGGTCGAGGGAGGGCTCTCGACGACCGGGTTGTGGGGCGTGTTCCTGTGGAAGATGTTCTCGATGAACATGTTCTGGGCGGTGTTTAACCTGTTGCCGATCTACCCGATGGATGGTGGTCAGGCGATGCGCAGCGGCTTCGAGATGATCTTCAAGAGCCACTCCAAGGCCACGCGCCTGACGGGTATCGTCTCGATCGTGACGCTGATCGTCGCCGTGGTGTTCGCCCAGTTCGCGTTGCGCGGGTTGGGGATGTTCACCATCTTCCTCGCGCTTTACTTTGGCTACCTGAACTACAAGCTCATTCAGGGGCAGGGGCAGCGTTGGTATTGACCTCGCTGGCGCCTTCTTCGACCTCGGGAGCTGGCCCGGCGAGTTTGATCAGATAGCCCTCGAGCGTGCCGACGAGCACGCTCCCGTCCCTGGCGACCGCCGGGGTCGATGCGATACCGCGCCCTGTGGGAAGAGTCTCGTGACACTCCCCGGGCGCGGTTTTGTTTTCCTTGGGGTGATCGGGGTAGCGCGACAACTCTCCGAGGTAGGCGTACCAGATCACCGACGCGTAGATGTCCGTCTTGGCGTAGAACACGCCGTCCATACGAACCTGGTAGATCGCATCCGGGAGGCGCAGCGTCGAAGGTCCTGCTTGCTGCACGCACACTGGCGTCAGGCTGATAAACTCGGCGCGCCGCTCCTTTGTCTGGAAGCCGATGCTCGTGTTCGACGCGGGCAGGTCGAAGACCAGCAAATCACTGGCAAAGGAGGGCGACGTGGTGAGCCCTGTCCACGCCTTGAAGTTTGGCAACGCGTCCGGTTCCCAGACCAGCGCACCGCTCTTTCGGTCGAGCGCGAACCAGGGGGGCGTGTCCATCGTCTCTTCACGGTCGTATGCGAGCACGAGCAGGTCGTCGGCGACCGTGGGCTCGCTGACGATGACGGAAGGTCGCGTGGTGATCTCTTCGAGCTCGTCGCCGGGGACGCGGTGCTCGTGACGCGTGCGCCAGAGCTCCTCTCCAGCAAGAGAGAAGGCGACCACGACCCCATCCGTTGTCGCGACGAAGACGCGCGTCCCATCCGAGGTCGCGCCCGCCCGGATTTCACCTGGCAAACTGGCGCGAGCCCTGATCTCACCGCTCGCGCCATCGATAAACAGCAGCTCGCCGGACAGCGTCCCCACGATGGCCAGGTTTTGCTCTCCGAGCACCAGCGGCGAAGCGATCGCCGCGCCGGTGTCCGCCACATCGAGCCTCCAAGCTGGCTGTCCATTCCTGGCGTCGAGCGCCCAGATGCCTTGCGCGCCACCCGTGACGACGAGCCTGCCGTTTAGCCAGCTCGTGCCGTGGACATCTCCCTTCGGGGTCGGTGAGAACCACGCCTGCTTACCTGTTGTAAGATCGAGCGCGTAGACGCCATCCTTGCTGTCGGGGGCGCCTTCGGTGTCTCCGGCAGAGCCGACGAACACCATCGAATCGGTGACCACCGGGGAGTTGTGGCGCGTCTGAACGCCGACCTCGGCGCTCCAGGCGATCTCGGGGCGCTCGATCAGGTTAGGCGCGAGCGCGAAGCCAGTGCGCATGATGTCGTTTTGCTTCATCGGCCAGAAGGCCGCCTCGGTCTGTGTGGGCGAGGCGTCCTTTTTGGCGGAGCGGTTGCTCTTGCACGCGGTGATGCCGAGGAGGAGCATTGTAATGAGGAGCGAGAGGTGCCGTCTCATTCAAAACGCCTTCGTGGAGTCGAGCAGGATCGTGATGGGGCCATCGTTGAGCAGGCGCACATCCATCATCGCGCCAAAGCGCCCGGTGGCGACCTTGCTCACGCCTCTTTGGCGCGCGCGCTCGATGAACTGCTCGTACATCTGCTCTGCGACGTCAGGCTTCATCGCCTTGACAAAGCTTGGCCTGCGCCCCTTCCTGGCGTCTCCGTACAGGGTAAACTGGCTCACCACCAGGAGCTCTCCGCCGACATCGAGCAGCGAGAGGTTCATCTTGCCGTCATCGTCAGGGAAGATGCGAAGGTTGATGGTCTTCTCGAGGATGTAGTCGAGGTCGCTCTCCTCGTCTCCTTCCCCTGCGCCGAGGAGGATCAGGAGACCGCGGTCGATCTCGCCAGTGATTTCGTCGTCTACGGTGACGCTCGCGCTCGAGACGCGTTGGATGACTGCTCGCATGCTCTTACCCTGGTTTGTGCTCGTGTGGCCCGTCACGTGGACGAGGCGGGCGGCAGAGCATGGCATGGAGCATGGCATTCCTCAACCCCCTCCGAGGAGGAGGTCGGATGTGCTCATGTCATGCACGAGCGCGCGTCGCGAAGGTCATTCTGCGGCGCGCGTCCTGGGTTTTTACTCGTTGAGATCGATGGCGTGGAGCACGTGCGCGAGCGGTTGCTCTTCGAGCTCCGGGTCGATGATGTGGATGCCTTCGTGGTGGAGCGCGAACTCGAGGAAGGAGATCCTGTCTAGCCAGGGGGTGTCGGCGGGGAGGTCGAGCGCGCGAAGCGCGTAACGTCGCGCGTCCTCGTGAGTGCAGCGCCCATCACCATGGAAAGTGATCGCGGCGTTCTCGGCGAAGGGCTCGAGCGAGTCCTCCCAGGTGAGACGGGGCTCGCCCGCCTCGAAGATCGAGAGTCGCATCGTCCCGGTGAGCGGATCATGCCCGAAGAACACCGTGTCGAGCATGGCGTACTGCGCGATCATCTCGGCCGAAGCCGCGTGGATGATCCTCGCGTCGAGGTCGACGTTGGGTTCTCCGATCAAAACCCACTCCCCATGTTCGCAAAAACAGAGGTTGTGCGTCCCTGGTCCCCCTTCGTGAGAGAGCCAGTTCTCGACGCTCGCGCGCAGGATGGCGATGGCCATCGAGGCGCTCGCGCGGATCGCGAGCTGAGTGAAGCCTCCCCAGTCGTGACCCCAGAAGGCGCCCTCGGGTTGCTCGCTTCGCGTTCGCGTCGTGTTATCTGTGTGCCAGTTAATCATGGTGTTTGAAGCCGCCACGTATTCTCGAGAAGAGGTGACCTCGCCGGTGCTGATCAAAACTTTTTGATCAACACCGACCAAACGGACCTTCGAGGCTATCGCACCTGAGAGTGGATGCAAGCGTCGCGCAAAGCGAAATCGTCGCGAGGAAAATGTGATTGTATTGTAAGTTGTTTGGAATGTTTGGTTATTTGTGGTTTTTGTGGGCGTGGTGTGGCGCTTTTTTAAGGCAGGTCTCACGGCTCTCGGGGGTGGCTGATTTTGCCATAGAGTGGTTTTCCACAAAGAGCGGATCAGGTGCATGTGAGCCCGGCTTTGGAGATCGATTGACAGGAAAACCACAAAATTAACCACAGGTTTTCCACAGGTGATCTGTAGGCGATCGCTTTTTGGGGCCAAGATCGCAAGTCCGCATGGCAGGCTGATGAGATCGATCGTCTGGCGATCGTGAAGATCGAAAAGTATTCGAGAATAGAGGTGTTTTCCACAAGGGGTTGTGAACAAATGTTCACCTTCGGTGCGATCAGAGGTGGCGTGTTTATGATCAGCGATCGCGCGCCGTGTGCACCGTGATCTCCCCATCAGCGCTGACCGAGATGCTGATCAGCCCATCGCGATCGGTTCGCCACACCGACGCGCCCAAGCGCTGGTAGCGCTCGAGGATCTCTGGCGCGGGATGCCCGAACCGATTGCGCTTGCCCGCCGATGCGACCCCGATGGATGGACGCAGCGCGTGGAGCAGCGCCCCATCGCTCGAGGTTTTGGAGCCATGGTGGCCCATCTTGAGGATCGTGATCCCCTCGCCATCACTGCCCGAGAACTCGGGGTGCGCGCCAAGCCATCGCTCCCCTTCGTGCTCCAGATCTCCTGGCAGCAAGATCCTGACGCCCGCGTACTCCACGAGCACCGTCAGGCTCGCGTCATTACGCGCCAGTGATTCTATCTCCTGCCCTGCGAATGGAACGAGCACCTTCAGGCTGGCGTCTTCGGTCTGATGCAGGAGCATATCTTGTGTCAGAAACCTCGCGGCGCTCCCATGACGCTCCATCTCTTCGATCAAAGCCGCGTGTTCATCGACCTCGAGCTGCCTCGGGTCCGTGTAGAATGTCTCGGGCGTGGCCAGCGATGCGATGGCGAAGAATCCCCGCATATGATCGAGGTCGGCGTGCGTCAGCAACGCGCCATCGAGCGCGTGGATGCCTCTCCAGCGCAGGTGCGGTAGCACGCGCCGCATCCCCGGATCGTATGCGCTCATGCTTCCCCCCGCGTCGATCAGGAGCGTCTCCCCATCGGGCATCGTCACGAGCGTCGCGTCCCCCTGACCCACGTCGATGAAGTCGATCGTCAGCTTGCCCTGTTGCTGGATGCGGCGGTGTCGAGCGGGGGCGGCCAACGCGAGGACCGCCAGCGCCAGGATGATCCACCTGGCGCGTTGGCCGCCCCCGCTCGACACGAACCAGAGCGTGACCAGGGCGCCATAAGGGATGAGCCACCACGCGGTCGCCACGCCAGGGCGAACGAAGGCGCCAGGCCACGTCGAGACATGCGCCGCGATCCAGTGCATCACCTCCATCGCCATCGCAGACAGCTCCAGCAACGGCGCGCCGACCGAGGGCACCACCGACAGGAGCACCATCCCCAACACCATCATCGGGAAGACCACCACGCTCACCAGCGGCACGAACAGCACGTTGAGCATCGCCCCCAACAGCGGCAGCTCGCCGCCAAGCCAGAGCACCACTGGCGAGGTCGCCAGCCACGCCGCGAAGGAGATCCGACACAGGCCCCCGAACGCGCTCTTCAGGCGCTCGAGCTTGCCCGAGTGATTTTCAGCGTCCTCGTTCTGTCGTGATCTTACGGATAGTAAAATGCCGGAAGCGTGGCGCTGCTTATCGAGAGCAGGAGCGCGGGCTCGTGCGCTGCCCAAGGTCGCCACGCCAGCGCCAGCAGGATCGCGATGGCGAGCGCGTCGAGCGCGTCGAGCCTCCTCACAAGCAGGTGCGCCGTCAGCGCGCCGAACAACATCATCAGCGCTCTCCTGGCGCTCGACGGCGCGCCGATCATGATGACGTAGGCGAGCATGGTGAGGCTTACGGGGAGGGCGCAGATGGTGCGGAGGCCGTGGCGAGCGATGGAGGCTGGCGAGGTGCTCCGAACGATCCTGGCCACGAGCCACCAGAGCAAGGCGGCTAACGCGC